TTTTTCCAGTCATCCGGGACCTCCCCCGATTGCCATGAGTTTTCAATGATAATGGCTAATGGCTCTGCAATCACATCCGCCAACTCCTTTAGCACCCTCGGATGCAGCGCATCCGGCCCCATGGACTTGTGCACGTCCAGTTTTTCTAAATAGTCCCGAACCACTTCTTTCTCCACAGAGGGCTGGTCACCTCCTCCCCATGCTGTGCTGCCCAGGGATCCAGGGATAGAACCCAGTAATTCTGACCCACAGGCTGCTGCACCCCTAACCCCAGCTCCCCTCCCAGAGCTGGGAATAGACCCCAGGAGACCTGACTTACAGCCCCTCCCCCCCGCTCTAACCACTAGTCCTACCGCCCAGAGCTGGGCATGGAACCCAGGAATCCTGATTCCCAGCAGCCCCACCCCCAACCACTAGACACCACTTCCCTTCTCATGCCAGGGGCAAAACCCTCGCATCTTGGCTCCCAGCCACCGCTCCTCTAACCACGAGCCCAAACTCCCCTCCCGGAACTGGGAATTGAATCCAGGAGTCCTGATTCTTGGACTCAGTAGAGCTTGTGCCAAACAGCTCTTTGTGCTGCTTCTCCCCTGCTACCCTCCTGTGCACACACTCCATAGCACAAACCAAACAAATGAACACCCAGAGAGATCTTCCGCGGACTACCCTTTGAGACACCCCTTCCATTGCAGCCCTCCCTGTCCGGGGCGGTGTGGGGGGAGGAAATGCAGAGCCCCCCCCCCCCATACACATCTGGATCTGGGAACAGCTGGGCCCCATCACCTTAACCCAATAACCTTCCCCGTCCATCCCCATCCTTACCCCTCAGCCAACATTGTCCCATAACCCCCTCCACAAGGTACTTTGCAACCCCAGTCACATACTTGGCTTAAAGTTGGAGTCTGCGGCCGAGTTTCACTGGTAAAAGGAAAGAGGAACAGAGAAACAGACGGGAAAGGAAGCGGTGGCAAAATCAGACCACATGCCAGGGGCTCACATGGTCCCGGCCGCCTGTCTCTGGGGCCCGGTGGCCACCCAGCCCTTGCCATCCATTGGGGAGCGGGAATGTGGACAAAGCGGCCGGCAGTGAGTGAACAGGAAAGAGGTTGTGCTAAAGCAGGAAGCGCTCGGCTGTATACTCGCTGAGCAAGCTGTACAGGACATGCGTGCGGACACACACACACACACACACACACAGCTGCCGAGGCACCGGAACAAGCCCCCAGGCGGAGTTTCTGAAAGTTTGCAGCATCGCCTGGGTGGCTCTTCGGGGCGCCCGTCCCGCAGAGCTAGCGCCGGAAGGCGGGTGGGCGGTGTGTTTAGTGTCTTTGCTAAACAGGGGGCGCAGGCAAGGAGGAGAAGCCAATCACCGCACACCGCACAGCAGAGCTGGGGATCCCCCAGCCTGTTGCTTTACCCATGTGCCGAGTGGAGCTCAGACGAGAACCCAGAAATCCTGACTTCCGGTCACCCCAGGAGTGTCGGCGAGAGTAAATGGGGGTAGACAGAGCTGACCCACTACGGATCTGGGGCTCAGGGAGTTTAGTTGACCCACTTCTTTTTTTTTTTACCACTAGACCATCGAGTCAGCCCTGCTCTAACCTCTAGACCTCACTCCTCTCCCAGCAATAGGCATAAAACCCAGGAGTCCTGTTTTTCAGTTCCCTGCCGCTGCTCTAACCACTAGTTCACATTCCCCTCTCACACCAGGAACAGAGTCTATGAGTCCCGCTTCCCATCCCCTCTTAATCCAACCACTAGAGCACACTCCTCTCCCAGTGCCGGAGACAAAACCCAGGCGCCCGGACCCACGAGTCCCCTGCTCTAAGCACTAGCCCAGGGGTGGTCAACCGGTGGCTCCGGAGCCACTTGCAGCTCTTCAGAAGTTAATATGCGGCTCCTTGTCTAGGCACCGACTCCGGGGCTGGTGGTACAGGCGCCAACTTTCCAATAGGCTGGGGGGTGCTCACTGCTCAACCCCTGGCTCTGCCACAGGCCCTGCCCCCACTCCACCCCTTCCCACCCCCTCCCATAACCCTGCCGTGCCCTCGCTCCACCCCCAGCCTCCTACACGCCAGGAAACAGCTGATGGGGAGGGAGGGGGAGGCGCTGAGCAGTGGGGCTGCCGGTGGGTGGGAGGCGCTGGGAGTGGGGGGGGGAGCTGATGGGAGGCTGCTGACGTATTATTATGGCTCTTTGGCAATGTACATGGGTAAATTCTGCCTCCTCCGGCTCAGGTTGGCCACCCCTGCATTAGCTCAGTCTCTCTCCCCCAGCAGTGAGTAGAACGGTTCACTCCCGAACTCGGTTCCTGAGCCAAACACGAAGCAACAATATCTGTTCAGTGCCACACAACGTACTGACGTGCACCTAACAATATCCCGCATTACGGAGAGGCCAATGCAAGGAGACATGTGAAAGCAAAGAAGGAACATCAGGACGCCTGGGTTCTAGTCCCAGTTCTGACGGGGAGGGGAGTGAGGTGGAGTGGTTAGACCAGGGGGTTGGGCACCAGGACGCCTGGGTTCTATTCCCAGTTCTGGAGGGGAGTGGGGTCTAGTGGTTAGAGCGGGGACAGGCTGGGAGTCAGGACTCCTGGGTTCTATTCCCAGTTCTGACAGGGAGTGGGGTGGAGTGGTTAGACCAGGGGGTTGGGCACTAGGATTCCTGGGTTCTATTCCCAGTTCTGACGGGGAGTGGGGTAGAGTGGTTAGACCAGGGGGTTGGGCACCAGGACTCCTGGGTTCTCTCCCCAGCATGGGGAGGGGATTGGGGGCTAGTGGTTAGAACTAAGCTAACTGACTCCACCAGATGCAGGGTGATGGTTGATCAGCCCCACAGATTTGAAGGCTGACTATCTAGCCTGCAGCCCACCAGCCATGGGGCCCTGCCCTGCCCCTGGAGCTGTCTCTAGTCCTCTTGAAAAGCCCTTTGTTAAAGTGAAAACCTCTTTTCTCTGAGCCCGGCCATGGGGCACCTGGCTTGTGGGGGATTTATGGAGTGTATAGTGCCTAGGCACTGCTGTCATGGACCAGGACCCCGCTCTGCTAGGGGCTGGACAAACAGAGGACACACACAGGGTTTTGAGAGCGTCCCTTGCGAGTGGTGTTTACCAAGCTTGCCCAACCCTCGCTGTTATGCATTGATCGCCAAGGCCGGACTGGAAGCGGGAAGTAAGAGGAGAATCATTCCTGGAATTCGCCATAAAACAGAACCCCACAGGGAAGTGAGCAAGAGGCTGACGGGAATTCTCAGCCCAGGGGCTTCCCCAGGAAGGACTACGGGGCATAGCTGGGGCACCAGCTACTCCACGCCCGGCCTCTCCCACTGCAGGAACAGAGCAAGAGAGCTGGGTGCATGGAGAGCTCTCAGGTGCTCCAGTCCCAGCAGGGGGTGTTACAGGGAGCAGGGCAGATGTGCCGGCGGTGGGAGGGTCGCTCACAGCCATTGCAGTCCTGGCTTCTCCCAACAGGGGGTGGGATAGGGAACGGGGCAGATGTGCCGGCTGGAGGAGAGCTCCTGGCTACTCCAGCCCCAGCAGGAGGCGCTCTGGGGAAGGTCCAGCCCCTGCTAAGTCGCTCCGATTTTCCAGTGTGGCCCCCTGATCCCAGAGTCCCTCTCACACCGTTCGTTTCTTTTGATCTTTTATTTAACCCTGAATACAAGCACAAGAAGAGGCAAGGTGGGGGTGACACCACAACTGGAAGGGGAAGGGCGGGGCGAGATTCGTCATCTGGTTCCTTCTTCGTGTCCATATCGAAACTCGGCCTCCAATCTCCATATGCCCCAGGACCCTGGAGTCCCCCACTGCCCCCTCCCAGGGGGCCACCCCCAGCATTACATTACCCCTCTCTGAAGTCACATACATTTCCATGGCCCATTCCCTGCAGTCCTCACTCGGGCAGAGCTCCCAGTGGGCTGAGCAACTGCAGAGCTCTTAACGGCGGGTTTCTACTTGCAGCCGCGATCCCAGGGCCAGATCCTCCGCTGGTGCCAATCAGAGCTGCCCTGTCGCCAGCTGAAGGCCCAGTACCAGCATGCGGTGCCCTGCGCCGAACCCTGCCCCGCCCCCCTCGTCCCAACCCCCTGCCTCTAGCACAGGGAGCTGATCTCACTTTTGCTGCACCCCCACTTGCAGCACGAGGTGCTCAGCCCCGCCATGACGTCCCGGACGGCGCGCTCCAGAGGCCAGCTCTCCTCGGCGAGGCCGCGGCCCGGTTTGCCTCTCCACCTCTCGTGGTAGTCGGAGGAGAGGTCTTGGTGGGGCAGCGTCCCGGGCAGGCGGCTGGCATCCCACTCGCTGGAGGCGGCTTCTGCGGAGTCTTCCCCTGCAGGGGGGCTGCTCAGGATATCGAGATCACCTGCAGTGAGGAGGAGACAGGGAAGTGGGAGGGAAGGGGTTAATGCATAGAGAACGGAAGAGGAAGACCCGGGGACCTGGCCCCAAAAGGCCACAACTTCCTGTCTTCAGCAAGACTAGAACTCAGTTCCTCCTGCTCCCAAGCACTGACCTCTCCGCTTGAGTTGAGTTGAAGGGAAAATCTCCTTCTTGCTGTTAGCAGTATAGGGCCTATGACACACAGGCGAGCTGTTCTGATTCCAGCCAGCAGAGGTGGCCACACAGTGCTCCCCTCTGAAGTTATCCTGGTCTCTCTGTCTTCTCGTTCTGACATGCAAGTCTCTCCCCTAAAGACCCAAGAGACCCTGCCAATAGGTCACTCCCTAAACAGTATTGTTGGGGGCGCAAAAGTAAAACCTAGGTGCCTTATCACGCCGAGCACGGCACAGACACCCCCTCCCCAAGATCGGTGCTTCCCATCACACCAGTCACTTCACAGACGCCCCCCTCCTGAGTGAGATTGGGGCCCCCCATCACAGTGACTGGACAGACACCCCTTTCTGAGTGAGATCGGGGCCCACACCCCATCATGTGGGCATCGCCCCGACAACGCACCCTCCCTCCAAACAAAGTCAGTGTCTCCACTGCACCAGACCACCCCCCACCCCTGAGATTGGGGCCCCCCATCACACCAAATGCCGCCCAGAACCCTGGCTCCTCCCTAGCCAAGAGCAGGGTCCCCATTGTGCCAGGTGCTGCACGGACACAAGGGGAGAGACAGTCCCTGCCCTGAAGGTCTTGCTCTCTGAACAGATCAAAGCCTCATTCTACAGATGGGGAAGCAGACGCGGTGAGGGGAAGGGACATGCCCACGGTCCCCCTGCGGGGCTGGCGGCCGAGCCGGGGATAGAAGTCAGGGCTCAGTCTGGCACTTGCAGTGGGAACAACAGACAAATCCCAGGTAACAAATCCACCACTAGGCCCTCGTCAGGACTAGACACTGGCAGGCTGCAATCTCTAGGCACTCGCTGGCCTCAGCCCAGCTTCTATCCAGGAGCAAACCGTGAGGATCAGCTCCAGTGCTGACGCTCGCTGTGGGTACACCGGGGCAGGGCTGACAGAGCCAATGCAGCGTGGTAACCCGTTCCCGGCCACGCGGGGTTCGTACGCCCCATCACCGATCCCCCCAGCTGGTGGGCGATGAGGCAGGCAGCGCCGGCAAATTTCCCAGGGGAAAAAATTGCCGTTGGCTTCTGACTTGTCATGGGAGCAAATCTGCTCTGGGAATAAACGTGGGACCCTAGATCTGCCCTTCTGGGCGACCCGGGCTCCTTGTGCTGCTCCTAAGAACTGAGCAGCGATCCACACCCCACCTTGGCGGTGCTGGGGGGGAGCAGACACTCAGTCACGCCTGGACTGTGCCCAAGCCGCAGCGCGCTTCACCAACATTGAATTAAGCCTCAAAATCCCCACCTCCGGGGAGGCAAGGTAGGGACACTGATCCTGGGTTTACAGATGGGGAAACTGAGGCACAGAGTAGGAGAGTGAGCTGACAAAAAGTCACGCTGCAAGTCAGTGGCAGAACCAAGCATAGAACCCAGGAGTCCTGACTCCCAATTCCGCCCCCCCCCATGCACCCCACTTCTCTCCCAGAGCCAGGAATAGAACCCAGGAGTCCTGATTCTCAGCTCCCTCTCCCATTCCAACCAGCAGACCCCACTCCCCTTCCATTGGGTACCCAGCAGCCATGCACACCCCGCCCCAGCCCCCCTTCTCACCTGCCCGTCTCCAGCGGGAGCCCCCACAGGTGAAGATGA